CACTGCACTGGTTGATCGATTTGAGTGATCTGGCCGATCTTCTCGGACAAGGTCATTCGAGAGAGTAAGTCTTTGATTCTGGATTCGATTGGGGAGTTAGGGTTTTTGTAAATGGGATTGTTGTTCATGTTCTTGGCTTTTCTACTACTACTGCTCCTTTTGTTCAGCTTGAAGAACCAGGCGCGATGGATTGAGAGGTTGGGTGTGAAGTTGCTTCACTGCACTGGTTGATCGATTTGAGTGATCTGGCCGATCTTCTCGGACAAGGTCATTCGAGAGAGTAAGTCTTTGATTCTGGATTCGATTGGGGAGTTAGGGTTTTTGTAAATGGGATTGTTGTTCATGTTCTTGGCTTTTCTACTACTACTGCTCCTTTTGTTCAGCTTGAAGAACCAGGCGCGATGGATTGAGAGGTTGGGTGTGAAGTTGCTTCACTGCACTGGTTGATCGATTTGAGTGATCTGGCCGATCTTCTCGGACAAGGTCATTCGAGAGAGTAAGTCTTTGATTCTGGATTCGATTGGGGAGTTAGGGTTTTTGTAAATGGGATTGTTGTTCATGTTCTTGGCTTTTCTACTACTACTGCTCCTTTTGTTCAGCTTGAAGAACCAGGCGCGATGGATTGAGAGGTTGGGTGTGAAGTTGCTTCACTGCACTGGTTGATCGATTTGAGTGATCTGGCCGATCTTCTCGGACAAGGTCATTCGAGAGAGTAAGTCTTTGATTCTGGATTCGATTGGGGAGTTAGGGTTTTTGTAAATGGGATTGTTGTTCATGTTCTTGGCTTTTCTACTACTACTGCTCCTTTTGTTCAGCTTGAAGAACCAGGCGCGATGGATTGAGAGGTTGGGTGTGAAGTTGCTTCACTGCACTGGTTGATCGATTTGAGTGATCTGGCCGATCTTCTCGGACAAGGTCATTCGAGAGAGTAAGTCTTTGATTCTGGATTCGATTGGGGAGTTAGGGTTTTTGTAAATGGGATTGTTGTTCATGTTCTTGGCTTTTCTACTACTACTGCTCCTTTTGTTCAGCTTGAAGAACCAGGCGCGATGGATTGAGAGGTTGGGTGTGAAGTTGCTTCACTGCACTGGTTGATCGATTTGAGTGATCTGGCCGATCTTCTCGGACAAGGTCATTCGAGAGAGTAAGTCTTTGATTCTGGATTCGATTGGGGAGTTAGGGTTTTTGTAAATGGGATTGTTGTTCATGTTCTTGGCTTTTCTACTACTACTGCTCCTTTTGTTCAGCTTGAAGAACCAGGCGCGATGGATTGAGAGGTTGGGTGTGAAGTTGCTTCACTGCACTGGTTGATCGATTTGAGTGATCTGGCCGATCTTCTCGGACAAGGTCATTCGAGAGAGTAAGTCTTTGATTCTGGATTCGATTGGGGAGTTAGGGTTTTTGTAAATGGGATTGTTGTTCATGTTCTTGGCTTTTCTACTACTACTGCTCCTTTTGTTCAGCTTGAAGAACCAGGCGCGATGGATTGAGAGGTTGGGTGTGAAGTTGCTTCACTGCACTGGTTGATCGATTTGAGTGATCTGGCCGATCTTCTCGGACAAGGTCATTCGAGAGAGTAAGTCTTTGATTCTGGATTCGATTGGGGAGTTAGGGTTTTTGTAAATGGGATTGTTGTTCATGTTCTTGGCTTTTCTACTACTACTGCTCCTTTTGTTCAGCTTGAAGAACCAGGCGCGATGGATTGAGAGGTTGGGTGTGAAGTTGCTTCACTGCACTGGTTGATCGATTTGAGTGATCTGGCCGATCTTCTCGGACAAGGTCATTCGAGAGAGTAAGTCTTTGATTCTGGATTCGATTGGGGAGTTAGGGTTTTTGTAAATGGGATTGTTGTTCATGTTCTTGGCTTTTCTACTACTACTGCTCCTTTTGTTCAGCTTGAAGAACCAGGCGCGATGGATTGAGAGGTTGGGTGTGAAGTTGCTTCACTGCACTGGTTGATCGATTTGAGTGATCTGGCCGATCTTCTCGGACAAGGTCATTCGAGAGAGTAAGTCTTTGATTCTGGATTCGATTGGGGAGTTAGGGTTTTTGTAAATGGGATTGTTGTTCATGTTCTTGGCTTTTCTACTACTACTGCTCCTTTTGTTCAGCTTGAAGAACCAGGCGCGATGGATTGAGAGGTTGGGTGTGAAGTTGCTTCACTGCACTGGTTGATCGATTTGAGTGATCTGGCCGATCTTCTCGGACAAGGTCATTCGAGAGAGTAAGTCTTTGATTCTGGATTCGATTGGGGAGTTAGGGTTTTTGTAAATGGGATTGTTGTTCATGTTCTTGGCTTTTCTACTACTACTGCTCCTTTTGTTCAGCTTGAAGAACCAGGCGCGATGGATTGAGAGGTTGGGTGTGAAGTTGCTTCACTGCACTGGTTGATCGATTTGAGTGATCTGGCCGATCTTCTCGGACAAGGTCATTCGAGAGAGTAAGTCTTTGATTCTGGATTCGATTGGGGAGTTAGGGTTTTTGTAAATGGGATTGTTGTTCATGTTCTTGGCTTTTCTACTACTACTGCTCCTTTTGTTCAGCTTGAAGAACCAGGCGCGATGGATTGAGAGGTTGGGTGTGAAGTTGCTTCACTGCACTGGTTGATCGATTTGAGTGATCTGGCCGATCTTCTCGGACAAGGTCATTCGAGAGAGTAAGTCTTTGATTCTGGATTCGATTGGGGAGTTAGGGTTTTTGTAAATGGGATTGTTGTTCATGTTCTTGGCTTTTCTACTACTACTGCTCCTTTTGTTCAGCTTGAAGAACCAGGCGCGATGGATTGAGAGGTTGGGTGTGAAGTTGCTTCACTGCACTGGTTGATCGATTTGAGTGATCTGGCCGATCTTCTCGGACAAGGTCATTCGAGAGAGTAAGTCTTTGATTCTGGATTCGATTGGGGAGTTAGGGTTTTTGTAAATGGGATTGTTGTTCATGTTCTTGGCTTTTCTACTACTACTGCTCCTTTTGTTCAGCTTGAAGAACCAGGCGCGATGGATTGAGAGGTTGGGTGTGAAGTTGCTTCACTGCACTGGTTGATCGATTTGAGTGATCTGGCCGATCTTCTCGGACAAGGTCATTCGAGAGAGTAAGTCTTTGATTCTGGATTCGATTGGGGAGTTAGGGTTTTTGTAAATGGGATTGTTGTTCATGTTCTTGGCTTTTCTACTACTACTGCTCCTTTTGTTCAGCTTGAAGAACCAGGCGCGATGGATTGAGAGGTTGGGTGTGAAGTTGCTTCACCGCACTGGTTGATCGATTTGAGTGATCTGGCCGATCTTCTCGGACAAGGTCATTCGAGAGAGTAAGTCTTTGATTCTGGATTCGATTGGGGAGTTAGGGTTTTTGTAAATGGGATTGTTGTTCATGTTCTTGGCTTTTCTACTACTACTGCTCCTTTTGTTCAGCTTGAAGAACCAGGCGCGATGGATTGAGAGGTTGGGTGTGAAGTTGCTTCACCGCACTGGTTGATCGATTTGAGTGATCTGGCCGATCTTCTCGGACAAGGTCATTCGAGAGAGTAAGTCTTTGATTCTGGATTCGATTGGGGAGTTAGGGTTTTTGTAAATGGGATTGTTGTTCATGTTCTTGGCTTTTCTACTACTACTGCTCCTTTTGTTCAGCTTGAAGAACCAGGCGCGATGGATTGAGAGGTTGGGTGTGAAGTTGCTTCACTGCACTGGTTGATCGATTTGAGTGATCTGGCCGATCTTCTCGGACAAGGTCATTCGAGAGAGTAAGTCTTTGATTCTGGATTCGATTGGGGAGTTAGGGTTTTTGTAAATGGGATTGTTGTTCATGTTCTTGGCTTTTCTACTACTACTGCTCCTTTTGTTCAGCTTGAAGAACCAGGCGCGATGGATTGAGAGGTTGGGTGTGAAGTTGCTTCACCGCACTGGTTGATCGATTTGAGTGATCTGGCCGATCTTCTCGGACAAGGTCATTCGAGAGAGTAAGTCTTTGATTCTGGATTCGATTGGGGAGTTAGGGTTTTTGTAAATGGGATTGTTGTTCATGTTCTTGGCTTTTCTACTACTACTGCTCATTTTGTTCAGCTTGAAGAACCAGGCGCGATGGATTGAGAGGTTGGGTGTGAAGTTGCTTCACCGCACTGGTTGATCGATTTGAGTGATCTGGCCGATCTTCTCGGACAAGGTCATTCGAGAGAGTAAGTCTTTGATTCTGGATTCGATTGGGGAGTTAGGGTTTTTGTAAATGGGATTGTTGTTCATGTTCTTGGCTTTTCTACTACTACTGCTCATTTTGTTCAGCTTGAAGAACCAGGCGCGATGGATTGAGAGGTTGGGTGTGAAGTTGCTTCACTGCACTGGTTGAAGAGATTGGGAATTTTGGGTTTGGGGTGGGGGAAAACCCGGGCGGGAATGGGGGGGGAAAGAGATTAGGGATTTTTGAGATTGGGGATTTTGGGTTTGGGGTGGGGGAACCGAGCGGGAATGGAAAAGGCAAGAGGGAGAATGAAAATTTTTTTGGATTTTTTTTATTTTCATTATAAATAAATATTTAAATAATAAAATGACTTTTTTTTTTTTTTTTTGTAATAGAGGATGTCATTGCTAAAAAAATAATTTCCATTCTTTTCATACAATTTTAGAGACAAGTTAACAAATAAATATACATTTTTATGTATACATTAAAATAATAATTATTCTCTCAATTTTTTACATTGCAAATACATTTATATTATATCGAAATAGTAAGAAAGCATTTTCTTCATTGTACAAAAGGCCATAATATCTATTTTAGAAAGCTCTGTTTATAAACAATATGGCCTTTATAATTCCTAAACTTAAAAATTCTAAAGGATGAGAGATTAATGGGAATAAAACAATATTGTTTTTTTATTTTTATTATTGGATCCAAGTTATTTTCTTCAATCTGGTAATATGCTTTATTTGTATCTAAGCATGTGTCCTCCAAATGTATAAAGCATGTATAGTTTAAAAAATTAATTAGGAGACTTGCGGTGAGTGGATGCGTCCGACATGGTTAAAAATCTTAGAAATTTCCATTCTTCTTAGATATGATTAAACAAACAAATCTTCAAATTTAGCTTTGTATTCACAAATGCTTAGTTAAATTTAATATATATGACAATAATTAGAAGCAATAATAAAATTAAGACCCCAACCTTCTTATTCTTGGCAAGTCTAAGTTTCTTGATGGTGCCAAACTGTTTAAAGAAACCTGCACAAATATGAACAATAAAACATTTTCTGCTTTGAAATTCATACACACATCAGCACATACATGTATATATACACTTTTTTTAAAAAAAAAAAATTGTACCTTCCATTTCATTCTCATAAAACCCATGTGGAATTCGACCAATATAGAGCACTGTAGCTTTATTTTCCGTAGTTTCACTTTTGGGAAGCTTATGGCCAGGACCGCCCTCTAATGGCTGCCAATCACATAAAATTCTACATAAATCAACATGTAAAAAAAAAATGCATATAATTTAAAGAATTATGAATAACTAATAAAAAATACCAAGAAATCAGCAGATTCATCTTTTTGGGATGAACCTTTCTTTAATTTCTTCATCATGGCTTTCTTTGCTTTGGCCCCCATCTCACTAACAGCACAAATATAAAAGTTATAATTATAAGAAAGTCATATACAAAAGAAAATAATCAAATTCAGATATATGAATGATGAAACCAAAATGCCCCAATTACAGTTTTCAATCACCATAAACATTTAAAACAAACAAATTTAGTTTAATTAGGGTTTTTGCTTCTGCTAATACCAACAAATTTATCCGATCTATAAGATAAATCTTGAGTATCATTAACGAGGGTGTGTTCGTTTTTGAACAAAAACAAATACATATACATGTTTACAAACCTTGTTCATGTATATGGAAAGGTACAGTAGGCTCTATATCTTCGTTACCTGATCGGAGATTTAGCTGAATTTCTGGGTCCGAACACGAGAAATCTCTACTACAGAGAGAGCAGAGATATGTGTGTATAATGTAGGCGTCGAGATGATACGCCGTGGTGTCTTTGGTAGCCCTAACTTTCTTTTTACCCTAAAATTAAAAATATTTATATAATAAAGCACAAGGAGTCTTTTGAATTCTTAACATATTTTTGTCACACCTTTATAAAATAATAATTGAGATGTTTTTTTAAAAAGAGAAAATTAATCTAAGGGCTCTCTCTTATATTTAGTAATGGAAGAGATTCACAATATTATTTTATGATATCTAAGGTCTCTCAACCCCCACACTCATATATCACAGAGAAATTTCTCAAATCAAACCTCATTTTTTTTCTCTCTCTCACTCTAAACTCTTCTGCTAAATTCATTTCTTATTCTCTCTCTTTCATCTTTGCGTCTCTTTCTCTCTCTCTAAAATGTTCTCTCTCTAAATTAACAATCTTGATCTTTTAGATTGTCCCCATTCCCACCGCCATGCCTATGCTCATCTCCGATCTTTGCTCTTCTTGCTAGAAACTTCCATCTCCGGTAGTTGTAATCTTTCTTTGCATAGACGGACGAAGTGAAGCTCTGTGATAAAGATGATGAATAAGATGAAGTTAGTCTGAGAGGCCGGAGCCCTGTTCAGGTTGGCCCTGTATCAAGCCTAGACCCACCAGACCTACCCGTTGGGTTCTTTTCCGACGATGACCTTCCAGCGAGTGAATTAGCAACGATTCTGTTTGATCCCTAGCTTTGGGTCCGCCAATCCTCCTCCCTCCGCCGCCTATTTTCAGGTGAATTATACACACATATATATGTATATGTAACTATGAAGATTGAAGAATTTAAGTGTTATTTTAGATGATGATGATGGTCATTGTGAAAATCGCATAATTGGATTCTTTATGCTTTATTGATTAGTTGATTGTTTTTATCAGTGGTTACGTGTTTGGTTGCTGAAAAAAATGTGTGAAATGGAAAGAAACTTAAAATTTGAATATTATTAGGTTGAAGGTCTATGATGAAGATGATGAAGAAAATGAAGCGGGTCTGAGAGATGTTAAAAATCACAGAAAATGGAATTTCTCTGATTTTGGAGAGAATTTCTCTGGAAAAGTTTGTTTGGGAATTTCTTTGGTTTTGAGAGAATTTCTCTGGGTTAGGAAGTCTAGAGAAATTTTTGTATCAGTGGTTGCGTGTTTGGTTGTTGAGAAAATGTGTGAAATGGGAAGAAACTTAAAATTTGAATATTATTAGGTTGAAAGTCTATGATAAAGATGTGAAGAAGATGAAGTAGTTCTGAGAAATGAGTAAAGAGCTGCCATTTTAGATTGAAGGTCTGTGATAAAGATGGTGAAAAAGATGAAGTAGGTCTGAGAGATGAGTAGAGAGCTGCCATTGGAAATCATAGAAAATGGAATTTCTCTAATGTTTGAGAGAATTTCTCTGAATTGGAGAGAATTTCTCTAGGAATTTCTTTGGTTTTGAGAGAATTTTTCTAGGTTTGGGAAAATTTCTCTAGAAAGTCCAGAGAAATTCTGGGAGCCCAGAGAAATTTTGTGGAGAGAATTTCTCTGTGAAATCCAGAGAATTTCTCTGGATCAATTTGAGGGACCTTAGACATTATGAAAATATTGGATGTCTTTTATACTATAAAATCTTAATATTAGGGACCCTAAAAAAAATTCCCATATTTTATTTTATATAAGTTTAAAAATGTTGTATAGGTGTATTTTTGGTTGGTTCATTTAGTATGTACCCTATTTTTTGTAACAGTAAAATGCTACTGTGAATTAAAGTAACATATTACTATTTACATCAATTTCGAAGGTATTTTTATTTATTTTTTATTTTTTAAAAATTTCATAGTCAACGTGGATCTTATTTGATAAATCTTGATAAGAAGATTCTAAAAATACTAATTTTACTAAAAACTGACATTTAGATAAAAAATTATATTATTTTAAAGTTTAAAATATTAAATTACTCAGTAAGCAAATTTTGATAATCTATATAATATGGCCTAAGGGTTTTGTCACGACCCGCTCCCCGTACCTAAGGGTTAAGCATCGTGATGGCTAGTAACCGAGGTTACCTCCGGCCAAATCCTTAAACAAATTAATAAACGCAAGTGGAAGAAATATTTAAATAAGGGTACTAAAATAATCATTGGAGTTTCTATTTTTGTTACAAAATTATTGACCAAAAATGCCGATATTTACATAAAAAAATACATCAATAAAAGTGCTTTGTACCTACCCCACACGCTGGTCCCGACATATCACCTGAAAGTGGTAAAAAACTATAAGCTCATGACAGAGTGAGAAATATTATACTAAGAGTATAAAGCATAAAATTCACCATGTATAATTAGTTGGGCCAAAAAGAGCTTGATACATAACATACATAATACGGAAATCATTTGACATATAACATGTAATACGGAAATCACTATACAACCATAACCACGGTACATCACTAAGTGTCAAGCACTACACTGGTCAATGGATCCACGACAAACACTGGACCACAAAGTGGTCAATTACTAGCCAATGGTTATTTAAGTCCCCCAAGGCATGGAACTCCCGTGGTGGTACTCACAAAACATATTTTCATATAAGGTCATAGCCAAATATTCTTTAAAAGTAAAACAAACATATCCATGGGTTTTCTTTAAGCAAATAGGGTTCATAAGATAATCCACGTAACTGAAACATTTATAAAACATAATTTTTATTAAAAACATAACTCGTATAAAACAGATTTTGGTAAGTTAAAACATACATAAAATATATTTTGATGACTCAAAGTATAATATAACTCACCTTAACTTTAATACCTTACTATTTCTTTCCGCTATCAAAGGTCTTCTTAACTTTCACTAATTTTTTCTCCCTTTCCTCTCTTTCTTTTCCTCTCTTCTTTCTTTCTTCCTCTCTTCCTTTTCTTTTTCTTTCTTTCTTTCCTGGTCTTCTTTTCTTTTTTCTTCCCTCACGGAGTCAACTTCTCCTATTTGTACAGATTATATTCGTGAGCCCCAAACCAAGACGCCACGTGTCGCTCCCATGTTAATCTTCATTAATTCAAGTCTACCTAATTAAGTCAAGCTTATCAAAACTTACTTATTAATACTTTGACTAAAAAATTATATTATTTTATAAAATAATATATATTAATACAAAATAAATCATATATTTTTTTAACTGTAATTAAATAATATTAGTATAAATTCTACAGAATAATTAAAAATCTGGGTTGTTACAATCTTCTCTCCTTTTAAAATTTCGTCCTCGAAATTTGTTATAAGTATAAACTATCCGCTGTGCACTCTGATGAGTATGTATTAGATGATTAATCTGATAGAAATAGTGCCTCAAAAAAAACTTTACAAAAAAAAAATCACTCACTGTCTAGTTGTCAAAAATTAATTTGGGCCAAAATAAGAAATAATGGGTGACTTTAAAAACTTTTCACTCGTATTGTTTATGATAAAAATAAATAAATGGAAATAAAATGAGATTACAATGACAGAATCATATGTGAGAGTTGAAAACAAATTTGAGATGAACTTTTCATTGATTGGAAATAATTTCAAAATTAGTATTTTTAAAATTTGAACCCACTTTTAAAAAGTCAAAATTTTTTTTTTTGAATACTAAATTAGAATTTATGTATATTTAATTATATTATAATTTTTTTTGTGGGTGTTTGACATCTTTTGTTTCTTTTTTATTCATAAATTATATCTAATATCCTTCACAAATTATGCACAAAAAAAAATTAATATATATATATAGAAAATCATAGAAAATTATAATATAATTAAATCGACGAACTAAATATAATATTTAGGTACTAATTACCCGTTATTGCACTTCTTAAATGTGCATGTGTCCTATGCTCCAATAATATATATATATATATTTTATAAACCATTGTATATATATATATATATATATATTTTTATTATAAACCATTACTCTGATACCATTTGTCACAACCCGCTCCTCGTACCCAAGGATTAAGTATCGTGATGGCCAGTAACCGAGGTTACCTCCGGCCAAATCCTTAAACAAATTAATAAACGCAAGCGGAAGAAATGTTTAAATAAGGGTACTAAAATAATCATTGGAGTTTTTATTTTTATTACAAAATGTATTGACCAAAAAGGCCAATATTTACATTAAAAAAATACATCAATAAGAGTGCTTTGTGCCTACCCCACACGCTAGTCCCGACATGTCACATGAAAGTGGTAAAAAACTATAAGCTCATGGCAGAGTGAAAAATATTATACTAAGAGTATAAGGCATAAAATTCACCATGGATAATTAGTTGGGCCAAAAAGAGCTTGATACATAACATACATGATACGGAAATCATTTGACATATAACATGTAATACGGAAATCACTATACAACCATAACCACGGTACATCACTAAGTGCCAAGCACTACACTGGTCAATGAATCCACGACAAACACTGGACCACAAAGTGGTCAATCACTAGCCAATGGTTATTTAAGTCCCCAAGGCATGTGACTCCCGTGGTGGTACTCACAAAACATATTTTCATATAAGGTCATAGCCAAATATTCTTTAAAAGTAAAACAAACATATCCATGGGTTTTCTTTAAGCAAATAGGGTTCATAAGATAATCCACGTAACTGAAACCTTTATAAAACATAACTTTTATTAAAAACATAACTTGTATAAAACAGATTTTGGTAAGTTAAAACATACGTAAAATATATTTTGGTGACTCAAAATATAATATAACTCACCTTAATTTTAATACATTACTATTTCTTTCCACCATCAAAGATCTTCTTAACTTCCACTAATTTTTCCTCTCTTTCCTCTCTTTCTTTTCCTCTCTTCTTTCTTTCTTCCTTTCTCTTCCTTTTCTTTTTCTTTCTTTCTTTCCTGGTCTTCTTTTCTTTTTTCTTCTCTCATGGAGTCAACTTCTCCTATTTATACAGATTATACTTGTGAGCCCCAAGCCAAGACGCCACAAGTCGCTCCCCTGTTAATCTTCATTAATTCAAGTCTATCTAAATTAAGTCAAGCTTATCAAAACTTACTTATTAATACTTTGACTAATAAATTATATTATTTTACAAA